AAAAAAGTAAAATCAAAACTCTGTATAATACCGTATAATATTTTGAAAAATACAATCTTTTGTGAATTAATTATTGAATTTTAATTATGAATTAAATATCATTACGAATGGAAATAATTGGATATGGAAATTCGTTATAGATAATTTTTTTATTGTTTTATAAATATCGAATGTATTATCTTTTGATTAGACCTGGTTATCGAAATTTAGCGAAAAATGTGTAGCAATTTTCTGACGATTCTGAAAATTCTATTGACGTGTTGTCTCACGTTAATCAGTGACGAAATGCATTTAATCTCCATTTAATTTAGCTAAAGGAACCCCGCGAATCAAATTGAATCCCAGAACCATTGTCAATTTAATTCGCTGTCCCACGATCTTCCTGTTTGACGTTGTACCTCCAGTTGTATCGGATTACACGCCATCACGGAATATTACGTCTCAGCCAATTATCTGTTTATCGATACCTCCAGAAGATCGATCGATTCCGTCGACCTACCTTTGTATGAATTTGATATCCGTTAAGAGCCTCGATATAATTAAGTCCTCGCGTAATCGATTACATTTTTTTAATACATAAAAGCTTTTTTTTTTTCTTTTCCATACGTAAAAAACACGGTTCCTCTTTTCATTGTGACAAAATTTCATTTCATTCTTTTTATAATTCTTTTTATAACGAATAAAATTTTCTTCTTGCAACTAACTTTTTTATCTTTAATCTTGAGATTATTTTTAATATTCATTACTTATTTAAAGTATTTTCACTACTCCTAAATATAATCGAATTCCTAAATTACATACGTGTATTTTAAATAAAATTTCATCCTACAAGGTACTATTTAATTATTTAACTTCAATGATTTCTACTTGTCTACACTATTTTTACTATAATTATCTGTAATAAGAATAATAATGAAAATTAGAAATATTATGTCTTTCAGAAAAGAAAGGAATTTCTAAAATTTGTTTACTGAATCTGACGATTCTCAGTTAAAGTCGTTATTCATTAAAGAATTATCTAAATCGAGGGTGGCTCCCCGTTTTAATAAACATTTATGAATCAGTTAATAAACGTTATGAATCAATTTCATAATGTGTATAAATATTTTAAGAGTCTATAAAGGATTCTACAAAAATGACGAAAGTTAATTTCTAGCATAAATTTTCACACTTCACTCTCTGTCGATTAATTTTGCAAAAATTCTGAATAAAGGGGTTCGAGTGTAGAAATAATTGAAGAATAGCGAAATAAAGATACTTCAAATGTCACTGATTGTAAGGTGTGAAGTTGTCAGATATCTGGATCATAATTCGACACGAATGTTGTACCGGAATATCGAGACTACTTCGTATCGATATTCCTCGGCGAGGCACATCGAATTAATAGTTTGTACATACGTTGTAAATCGAGGCCCTGTATTTCGAGCATACTCAAGGGGTTTCCTATTGAAACTCGATAAAACGCCGTCGTATATCGCCAATAGGCCAAACAATTTGATCGTCGTATTTTGTTTGGCGAATATGTTGACAGATTTGTCATTCCGCCGCGAATTTATTCGCAACGATAAATTGTTGCGGCGATCTCCGTCACGCCGCAACCGGGCATACGCGTTTATTACGAAAAATTACTATTTCCCCGAAATGTGTTTCCAAGAGGAATTCTAAATTGAATCAATTATTCATCGTCAACTTGATTTCGCGAATTTTTCCAAATTTGATCGAATATCGTTCCGATGAGATTATCGGCGTTGGACATCGGCGCTTTAAATTTTCGAACGAGCGATTTGATATTCGTACTTTGTAAAATGCAAAACGAGATGAATTTCGAAAAGTTGGTAGAAATCAGAGAGCAATATTAATTTAATATCAATTTAATGTATTATTGATGAGTCGGTTATTTAAAACGATTAACGGTTAATTTAATGAAATACATAAACTGTATTAATAATCAAAAGACAAAATAATAACAATTCTGTACAGCGTTAACAATATTATGATTTCGAGATATATAGCCTAGCAATAATAGTTTGATTTTTAACAGTAGAGAATGAAACAACTTTTTTCTTTGAGTTTAAAGAAAACGAAGAAAAGAAATAAAGTAAGAATCATTTAAGGCCATTTGACAGGATAAACGTTGCAAACTATTAATCTCTGATATAGTAGCGAAAATATTAAGTATCAGAAGCAAGAAAACCGCTTACAATTAGAATACCTATAGATATTCTACATTCTTCTTATAGGTAGAACTACTTGAATCAAACGAGGAGATTACCTACTTCTAGTAAAAACTTCAGACTCAAATAAAAAACGATATTGTAATAACGCATTGAATGTAAAGTAAAAAAGATAGAATTACGTCTAATGAAACAACAGAGACTCCAGTGACGAGTCTTAATCAGGTTCATAAATATTCAGACACTTTGTCCAATTTGTACTAGCGGAAGAAACATGCATACGTAAATGTTGCTAAAATGTGTAAAATTAATACGGCGTATTAATGACAGAAAGCGATAGTTGCCACCTTCTTGCGCAATCGACAAATCAGAAATGTAAATTTCTGGCCGGGAAGCTTATTAATAGCGCGAAAGCTAAATGGACAAGTTCGTCGATGTACTTACCAATGCTTGAATTAATTGAGGTAATCTTTGCACCAGGTTAGAAGGAAGTTCCTTATCTCCATGGCTTGGGAGCTAAGCGCCCTGCAGATAAAGAAATTTATTTCTAAAGTAACGAAATATTTCTGCAGGACTTAAAAAGTTAAATTTGTTTTCGCGCATTAATTCTACCGCGCCGTTATATTTTAGGATATACGATTTTTCGTAGTTATTTATAGAATTGCAATTGACGAAACTATGTCAGAATTTTCGAATTAAATTAATTAAACCACGGCCTGCAACGATTGTAATCAACTAATTAAGGACCAACGTTGCGTTAATGCAACAATCCATTTGTTTCCAATTTCATTTCGTTTTAACCGATTTATTTGTTCGATTTATTTCGTTCGTTTATTCGCGTTCATTTAAATATTTCATTTATTTACGTGCAATTTATTTCGTTACATCATATTCTATCGCATTACTCGCGATATTCTTCTTTCGCGTGATTATTCGTTAATTTAATTGCATGCTTCTGGCATTAATGAAACTAATTTAACAACGCATCGGCCACAAATTAAAACACATTACTTCTCTCGGTTCTTTTGCTAGTTTCTCAAAAACATCCTCGTTTCCATTATAACTTCCAATAGACCTCCGTCACGTTCCTCCATCGTCAAGTGTTAACAAACAAATCAAACCTCTGCCTCTTCTAATCTCCCCGCATAAATCTATACGCGCGCGCGTGTGTATGTATGTGTCGTAATGTGTGTGACACACGTCGTAAAAACGAATATTCGTGGCAGAAGATCGTAAGAAAGGAGGCACGATTTTCTCCGATGATGGGGCTTTCGCAGAATCCGGCGCGTGATCGGTTCACCGGGTTCAACCGACGTGAACGACGCGCCAGCGTCCGGTTCCGCGCCATCTTTCGCGACTTCGGGGACATTGTATTCCCGTTCGGTGGAATTTTTCGTTACGGCGACACCTCGATCAATATTTGCGCAGCCGGGAGTGGAGGCCACGTCACGCTCGACCTTCCGCGGCCATATGCGAACACGCGGCTGCATAGCCGCGTCTACACGCGCGTGTACACGCTCCGTTGTGCATCTCCGACGTGATCGACAATCTCCTTGAAAGCGTTGCGTTCCGTGGTAAATGGTAAATTTCTAGCTTTGCCGGCGTTCATTTCCTATCCTAATTCGACGAGGCGAAAGTTGGCCATCACCTGCATAGAAAGATTAGGCTGCTAGGAAGAATCAAATAATGGGGAGAGCCGCTGAATTATTAGACAGTTAGAGATATTGATTTAGAGATATTGAAATTCACCGAAAGGATTACTGAATTATTCGAGAGAAACAAATAGTCGAACAGCATTTATTTGCGACTGATAAATAATAACCTGGCAGATCAATCCTAGATTACTTTTATTTTTTTATGTATTAAGTATTATCCAATGATGGAGGAAAGTATTTTACATTGACGACTGTTTAAGGAATTATTATCACAAATCGTGTCTCTGAATAGGAAAGTTTGAGAACAATTTTAGCACTGTAGTTGATACATATCTAATAAAACAAATCGAATTTTAATATTTTCACATTTAATAAAATGTTATGTTGCAATTTATAAATATAATATAATAATATTACTAATATAATAATTATTAATAACGATAA